TGCCATCCATACCAGGTGTCACCTTTTCAGTGAGTCTTCTCCCTGGCTACCGCAACCAAAATTGCTCCTGTCTTGTAAAGTGGGGATAATCACACCAGCCTCACACACAGCTGCTGTGATAGTCCAGTGTCTGACTCAGACAGGTGCTTAAGACTGTTGAGCTTCCAGCCTCACCTCCCCTGGACTCCTTCCCTCCACACGCCTAATTTCACCCCTAGGAGAAGAGGGCAACTTCTTTATCTTAAACAAGAGAAGAGTGCCACAAGCTTTGAGAGCCCCCTTCTCCTTGTGAGGTTACGGGCCCTTGCTCCTCCCTCCTGAGACTGCTTCAAGGCTCAGGGAACCCGGCCCATCTGGAGCCCCCCGTCACTGCCTAGTTTTCATAACCTGACAGAGATAGCTTTGGGCTCTGGCCCACCCCCGAGGCCAGATCAGATTGGCTCAGCTCCTCCAGTGCATCTACGGGGCAGTCATCTCACCGTCCCCGACCCTTTATTCTTCAGGTAACTAGGTCAGGTAACATGGCTAAGCCGCCTGCTCCTGCCCTGGCACCAATGCTTTGCCTAGAAATGCTGCCCACAGCAAAGTACAGTGGAAAGACTACAAGTTCTGGAATCAGTCTGGTTTCCTTATGTGTCAAACAGAGAAAGGGAAACAACCCTGATGCTTTGCTGGGCCTAGCGGAGTACCTAGCACATCACAGGCGCCCAGGAAGCACTTGCTCCTGACTCCCCATTCTGAGCTGTGGGGGAGAGGCCCACCTGGTTTCGCTGACGTCCCATCAGCAGCACGCACAGGACATAGAGCACTTCCAGTTTGTACATGATCTCGTGCATAATCTTCATTGACTGAGGCAGCTGCGTCCTAGTTGAAGTGTGAGGCAGGCCATTCTCCTCAGAAGCCCCTGGAGGAGGGAACACAATGGAGGCTGAGACAGCCACCGAGAGAGGCGTGAGTCACTGCTTGCAAGGAAACGTGTTTCTGCCCCTCAAACCTGCTCTGAACAGACTTGAGATAAAAGAGCCATTAGATTCGGCCCTGAGCCTGTGACAGAAACTTTGAAAGCTACGAAACTCCCTCCAGTCCCCCAGGGGCCAGGCAAGCTTAGAAACTTAGAAAAATTGACACTGTAGTTCTTTTTATCTCATCAACTTCAACATACACTAAAAATATTCTGACACAGCCGATGTACGCATTATCCATCCCTTCCCCCCTTAATTCCTTTCTTCTGCCACCATCAGATTCCCCGCCTAACACATAAAGTGCCCAGGCAGATGTCTAGAAGCAAACTGTGTCAAACTCTCTTCAGGCCACAAATGACTGAGGACTTGGTCCCTCTGCCTGGGTTCCACAAGGAGGCACTGCTGAAAGGCTGGGAGGAACCCTTTTAGAAAAACCAGCTCCCCCCCGCCCCTCCACCCTGGTTTTTCAAAGAACCATATAGTTTTCTAAGGGAGACTGGGCATCACAATTGCTACTAGTGATACTATGAACACATTTTTGATCTCTCTTTTTTTTTTTAGCTGAGCCATCCTGCCACCTGTTGGCAGCTCAGCGGCTGCTCAGCTCAGGCCGGGACTTGAACCGCTGTTGCTCAGAGCTCAAACTCTTGAGCGAGTTCTTAACCAACTAAGCCACTCAGCCGGCCTGAACACATTCTTTATGATCAGATTTTCATTTTACCCAATTTCCTGGTTAGTAACAACAGCAGCAGCTAAGTAATATTTATGGGACACTTGATATGTACCAGGCATTGTGTTTTAGTCTTTTGGTAAACCATCTCATTTATTCTATTACCCAGTTAACAAAAAGCCTCTGTGGGTCATGCATGCAACAGAGGAGTGCTGTCTAGAGAAGGTGCTAGAGCAAGTGATGGAGACTGAGGGCTCTGGAACTACAACTTGCTGGCTGTGTGACACTGGGCTGGTCACCTCCTCACTAGGCCTTAGATTGCTCGGTAACCTGGGAATAGCAGTAGTGTCAGAGTGAGGACTGAATGAAAACACAAGAGAAGCCCAGCATCTGCTTCTTGGGAAGCCTCACTCTTACAGTCCCTATTATTTTAAAAGGCAGCACTAGTCAGAGTCAAGAGACCTTAGGAGTTACATCCCTTCCATTTTCCTCATTTTTAAGGTGAAAGGACAAATCAGTAACTACTAAGGTCTTTTCAAGCTCCTTTTGGAATTGTTGCCCTAGGGGCGTTTTACAAAGACCAGAAAAACTCGTGGTACAGAGTAGTCATCAGATCTATTCAGGTAAGGTGCCTGCAGAAGTCATGGTGATTTCTGCATGTTCATATCATGCAGATGTGAACCTAACTTACTCTGCCCTATACAATGGAACTATTGATATATTTTCCAGCCATACTATGTCACTAATATAGAATCACAACTCTGGAAGAAGACCAGTTGCTGAATGAAGGATGAATTGTGAGGCAGCGGCAGAAAGAGCTCAGATTCGGGCCAGGCTGCTGGGTCTGAACCTGAGCTCTACCACTCGCTAGCTAGGTGGCCTTGGGTAAATTTGTTGGTGTTGCTATGCGTTCCAGTATCCATCCTCATCTGTAAAATAGGAATAATGGCAATAGCACCTATCTCTTACCAATGTTGCAAAGATGAAAGGACTTAATATATTGGAAGTGCTTAAAACAATGCCTGGCACACGTAAGCAACATATATGTTAAACAGAAGTAAAAAACTGAGTTTTTCTGCTAATGCTTGCTTGCTACTTGTCTTCTTCTTTTATTTTTTACTTTATTATTATTATTTTTTTTATTGGGGAACAGTGTGTTTTCCCAGGATCCATCAGCTCCAAGTCAATTAACTGTTTCAATCTAGTTGTGGAGGGTGCATCTCAGTGGCCCAAGTGGAGACTGAACCGGCAACGCGGGTGTTATGAGCACTGCACTCTAACCCACTGAGGTAACTGGCCACCACATTTTCTTCTTTTTAATCTGCAAGCTCTTAATGGCAACTAAAGAAGCAATGGGCAAAGGACTTAAGAAAAAGTTACTGGAGAAAATCTAATTGAGAAAATTCTATCTATTAACACATTTTCTTGCAGGTTGGGAGAAAAAAAACATAATTACTGGATTTCCATGTTGGGACTCCTTGGCCCAGCTCCCAGAACAGTTGAAGAGTCAACTGAATTGTAGAGAGACTCTGAAGAGCTACCGTGTCGAATCCTGCCTCTGCCACACACTCGTGTGGCCTCAAAAGCCTCGCATCCTCATCACCTAGCTCAGGGGGTCTGAGGGGGTGGGGGAGACTGCAGGAGAGGATGTCTCTGGAAGGAGCAGGTGCAGCACATGGCACGCAGCCCTCTGCAGTAATAAATGTCTGTGGAGAAAGACACACAGGCAGCTCAGACTCTTCTCCGAGTCACTGCCAACCTTTAGTGCCTGGTTTGCATAGGTCTGACAAGAAACTCTCTAGGATAGATATTTTCAAACAACACAGCCCCCAAAGCAATGGCCAGAACTTAGCAACAAAGTAACTCCCAAAGATGAGGATGGGACAACTAGTTTAAGAGGCCTGCACCTGCCTACAAATCTCTTGTGCTCCACCAAACCGATTAAAATGGTCACCATCCTCCCCATGTCTGCATCGCTTTCTGGGGGCTATACTCTCCTTCTCTCTTTTTTAAGAAACAGGTTTGACCTGTTACAATTCACATACCATACAATTCACCCATTTAAAGTGCACAATTCAGTGGTTTTTAGTATATTCAGAGTTGTACGTTTTAGAGCATTTTCATCACCTCAAAAAGAAAACCTGTACTCATTAGCAGTCACTCCCCATTTCTTACCAAATGTCTCAGACGTAGGCATCCACTAAAGTTCTTTCTGTCTTCATGGGTTTGCCTATTCAGGACATTTCGGATAAATGGAATCATTGTAGGCTTCTTTCCCTTACCACAGTGTTTTCAAGGTTCATCCAGATTGTACCATGTATCAGTATTTCATTTTTAAATTGCTGAATAATATTCTATTGTATGAATATACCACATTCTGTTATCCATTCAGCAGTTGATGGACACTTGGACAGTTTCCATATTTTGGATATTATAAATCTGTTGCTATGAATATTCATGTGTAAGTTTTTATGTAAACATGTTTTCGTATCTCTTGGGTATATACCTAGGAACGAATTTCTGTGTTGTATAAATTGATGCTAACCTTTTAGGAACTGCCAGACTGTTTTCCAAAGTGGCTGTACCATTTTACATGTCCACCAACAGCGAATGAGGGTTTCTGATTTCTCCCTGTCCTTGCCAACACTTCTTATTATCTGTCTTTTTGAAGATAAACATCCTAGTGGGTGTGAAGTGGTATCTCACTGTGGTTTGAATTCGCACTTCCCTGGTGAATTCAATGACGTTGAGCATCTTTTCACGTACTTACTGGCTATCTGTATATCTTCTCTGGAGAAACAGCTACTCAGATCCCATATTATAAAATGGGTTGTCTTTTTATTATCCAGTAGCAGCTTTTTTATACATTATAAAGTCCCTCATTAGATATATGGTTTACAAAGATGTTCTTCTCCAGCCCCTCACGTTTTCTTCCATTCTGGGGGTTCTTTTCACATTCTTGGTGGTGCTTTTTGAAGCACAAAAGGTTTTCATTTTAATGAAGTTCAATTTATCTATTTTTGTGTTGTCTAAGAAACCACTGCTAAATCCAAGGTCATGAAGATTTACCCCTATGTTTTCTTCTAAGGGTTTACCTCTTACATTTAAGTCTTTGAGCCTTTTGAGTTAATTTTTGTATATGATGTGAAAAAGGGGATTTCAACTTCATTCTTTTGCATGTAGATATCTAATGGTCCCAGCACCATTTGTGGAAAAGGCTACTGTTTCCCCAATTGAATGGTCGTAGAACTCTTGTTCTAATTGTTGTTCTAAAAATCAACTGATCGTATTAAGTGAGGGTTTATTTCTGAACTCTCAATTCTATCTTATTATATGTCTCTCTTTATGCCAGTAGCACACTGTTGATTATTGCTACTCTGCATAACTTGTTTTTTTAAAAGATTTTTTATTGGGGAATTGGGGGGATGGGAACAGCGCTGGGGAATTGGGGGAAGGGGAATAGACAAGTTGCTGTCGTTTTGTTCTTCAATCTAGTTGTGGAGGACGTTGCTTCACTGGCCCAAGTTGGCACCATCATTGCGCTCTTCCCGGGCGAGGCAGATCAGTCGCCGGCTTCTGGACAGCCGCTCATTGCGGCTGCTGGCCGCTCACACTGGCTGCTGGCTACACACATTAGCCCATGGCAACCCACTGCCACAGGGGCTGCAGCCTACGCCATCGCCGGCGACTCACGGCCGCCCAGCTCCAGGTTGAGCTGTTGTTCAGCATCTTAGCTGTGGAGGGCAGTGTCACTGGCCCTCATATGTGGGATCCGAACCGGGGCCCTCCGGCGTCCCAAGCCAGTTCTTCACCATTGCGCCACTCGGCCGGCCCTACTCTGCATAAGTTTTGAAATTAGGAAGTGTGAATCTTTCGATTTTGTTCTTTTTCAAGATTATTTTGGCTATTCTGGGACCCTTGCATTTTCATATGAATTTTAGGACCAGCTAGTCCATTTCTGCAAAGAAGCCAGCTGGGATTTTGATAGGGATTGTGCTGAATCTGTAGATCAAAACGGGGAGTACCACTACCTTAAAAATACTGTCATCTGATTCATGATCATGAAATGTCTCTACATTTATTTAGGTCTTAATTTCGTTCAATAATGATACTTTATATTTTTCTGAGTGTAAGTTTTGCATATCTTTATTAAATTTATCCCTAAGTATTTTATTCTTCTTGATGTTCTTATACATGAAATTGTTTTAATTTCATTTTTGGTTTGTTCATTACTATTATATAGAAATACAATTGATTTTTGTATTGAGCTTA